ACCAGAATGGTTGGAATCTTGATGGAACGTATTCTCTCTTTATATACATATGTATATATATAGTCGGGAGATAGAGAGAAAGAGAGAGGAAAGAGGGGATTTTCACGAGGCTCCTTTTTTTTCAAAAAGTTCTCTTTAAACGCGAAAATGCGCTGTGAGGAAACGTCGCGGAACGTTTTTTTTTTTTTTTTTTCTGAAGCGGAAATCGCGAAGCGATCGATATATATATATATATATGTATATCGATGGGATAGAAAGAGAGGAAGAGAGCAAAGTAGATCTCGATCCCTCGCTTTAGCGGCGTCGTTTCCTTTTTTTTTTTTTTTTTTTTTTTTTTTCTCCCCTCGAAAGAGGACAGATGAGACACGGCTGGATCGCGCGATGACCGCGATGATCGATCTCGATCGCCGCGTGCACATACCAAAGGATCGTAGATTTTACGCGAGTAAAAAGATGAATAAAAAAAAAAATAATAAAAATAAAAAGAAAAATAAAAATAAAAATACATTATTTATTGTTTACACTTACGTATTCATTAGCGAGTGACACACAAATGACACACGTACACACGAATACACGAATACAGGGTGAATGGAGGGGAGAGAAAGAGAGAATGAGAGTGAGAGTGAAAGATAGAGCGGAGGAGTGGTTCACGAACAACCTGATCGAGGAAATAGCGTTGATTTTTTGCGAATAGAAAAATAGAGCGGATGGGCGGAGTATAAATGTACGAGAGAGAAAGATAATTTGTAAATGATGGAATCGAAATTTCCCGCGTGGATCACGCGGATGGATCTCGATCGTGATCGTGTGTGGATCGACGGGAGGTTAGTTTTTTCTTGTAAGTGACCAGTTTGTTAGCGCCCTCTCGCCGATCGATCGATCAACGATCGAGGATCCGGTAAAAAAAAAAAAAAAAAAAAAAAAATCATAATCATAATCGCGAGAGAAAAATTCGAACGAATGCTTCTTCTCTTGATCTCTGTTGATCGTATGAAGAGGAGGAAAAAAAAATCGGAAAAGAAAGATAGGGGGAATCGAACGATCGGGCGGGAAATTCGAATTCATACATACGGAAACGTGTAACTATGTAAAAGAGAGATACACAAAGTTGCGGTGGCGAAGGGGGCGATTGTAAACTACTGTAAACTACGATGTTACTACGTTTTACCAAGAGCTTATTGTAGT